ATGAGGACCCACCTTTGGGATTTGAAGTCAAGATGATTGTTGAGAGTTTCTCCACATTTATGCTTCTTTCTGGTTTTGCCACAACATTTCTATCAGTAAAAAGCTGAGGATGAGGATCTTCATTTTCTCTAACATCAGCCCTTCAGTTTAAATGAGAAATGTCTATTTTGGTCATTTTAGTCTCCAGTTTTTGGGACAGCAAATATACAACATACATCATCCTGATGATTTTTCTGAGCACTTCAATGTCGCCACAGTTGTGCCAGTTTATATAAGATCCCATTTATGCAAAAATAAGGAAATCCAAGGCAAATAATTGACACGGAGCTGTAAATTACTTTGATTTTATTCAATGAAGAAAAAAAAGACTTTGCGTCACCTGTGGCAGAAAACTTTAGCAGCCACACACTGTGGAGGTTGGGGGGGGGGGGGGGGGGGGCACTGAGCAGAATGAAGAGGGACCAGTAAATGATGAGCAACGGGTGGTCATCCCTGTTCACATACGTCTAAATGATAGTACAAAAAGGGAATAATACAAAATACAAAACCGGGAAAATCACCCTAAAAATAAACCATAAATATTTATATTGACGCACGTCGGTTTAACAAAACAATTGCTCCTGTAAACATTTTGAACATAAGGTGTGCATTACAATTTAAAAACCACTGCAGTCGCTTACTTATCTGAAGGGATACATTGCAAAATTGCAGAAAGAAGACTAAAAACTAAGTCAGAATTTAAAAATCTGCCGTCTAACGGGGTTCTGTAACACTGCCATCAGAACGGGCGCTTTCTGGATTTGCCTTCTCTGCGTTTCACAGATGGTGAGTGTGAAAGCTTCTGGTTGTGAGGCGCTGTTCTCAGCAGGTCCCCTGAAGGCTCCACCTCAGAGCCCCCACGTTCAACAGCCAGTTGGCTCTCAGACAAATAAAACCAAAGAGAAATCGACCAGTTCTCGGAGGGAGTGCAGTTAATGTTGGGCGTCTTTACAATCCAGCCTGGATTCAGCAAACTAACCCACTAAATGTTGGGGTGGGGGGAGAGGTCCAACACAGAGTCACATGGCTGATTTAGACTACAGTGTTTCTACAGCACACAAAATCCAAAACCCTGAAGTTTTGAAAATGTGGAGTTTGAAAAAATGGAATCAGCCGGAGGACCCTAAGGCCACCGTTCAGCTACACACGAAGCTAAAGATTCCTTCAAAGCACAGAGCTGACTGGTCGTAGGTGTGACTGGTCACACCTGTGCTGGCGGGGGACAGGGAGTGGGATTACCCCGGCACTGCCCGATTCCCCGGCTGCCCAGCATGCTACTCAACTCTGCTCGTCTAATTCACAGTTTCACTTAGCCATACTCAGAGTGGATGTCGATAGAAAAATCCACCCGAGTGGAAAAAGCACTAATTAGCCTCACATTTCTGGGTCGGTTCTGTTAGCGTGTTAATATATTTCCAGTGGAACCACAGCCGGTCGACCACAGAGGCTAATCAGGAAAACGTCACGACAGAAGTGAAGCCAATAAAAAGTACAGGTCAAAGATAAACAGTGTGGGTTCATTCCTTTACCCATGTGTGTGTCCTGCCTCGATTCGCTTTTCATATGCAGCAAGTCGCATACAAAATTTACAGTGTACTCAAGAAAAGAAAGGGGAAAAGTCAACCAGGGGCTAAGTGTCATGCCGTCATAAACGGGGCTACTTCTGTCCGACATAACCTACAGCACATGAGGCAATGTGGTCAAAGTGTCTAGAAAACCTTTGCGAGTTTATAGTTGGTATGTACAATCTGATATCCAGTACCCTGTATGTAACAGATATATCAAGAAGGTCCCTTAAGAAGTCTTCACGATAAGGAGGTGAAGGCAAACAAAGTGAAGACACAGAGGCTAGTTTACACATCAAGCACCATCTATTGGAGGACATCTGAACTAAGTGTTACAGTAACATGCTTGACATGGAAATCTTCACCTGAACAGGGCCGGGAGGAAACACAGCTACACTGGAGTCGTGGCACAGGAAGTGTGGGCTTCTCGGCCGCGCCGGCGCCAAGTCGCTCACACACGGGCTGGAAAGTTGTACTATGACACAAAGAGCGGCGGAGGGCATGTCCCTCAGCGGAGAGACGTCTGGGTCAGGGAGATCTGGAGGCCGGCCGCCCCGTCTCCCACGGTGGTCACAGTCCAATCCGATTTGGGTTTCCCCGAGCGGGTGAGAGGAGGCCCGGGGGCCCCGGGCCGCCCTCGCCGCGTTGGTGGTCGTGGTCGGGGGTCAGTCGCTGCTCGGGTTAGTCGTCACGGTGGCGGGGCTCCGCCTACCAGCTCATGAGAGAGGTGCGGCCCAGGGTCATAAAATACACTTGGCTGGCGCCTCCGGGACGCACAGAGGCGAAGAAGACCTGGCAGAGGGAAAGGACAGGCCACAGGCCAGCAGCGGTCAGATTCAGCCCGCTTCTGCTGAGGGCGCGCAGCAGAAGGGGGCGGGGCCTCACCTTGTCGTTCCTCTCGCAGAGGAACTTGAGTCTCTGGGCTCTCTTGTGCATGAACACGCCGTCCAGGTGGCCGGTCTCCACCGAGCGGATCTCTATGGCTTTCTCGCCCCAGCCCATGATCTGGTTGGACCTAATGTAGGCTGCGGGAACAGGAGCGCCTGTCAGTGCACGGGCCGCGCAGGCGGCAGCTGCTCAGCAGAGCGGGGGGGCTTACCCACGGACGTCGGCATCTCCCCCCACTGCAGCACCACGTCTTTGGTGATGCGCCCGTAGGTGTTGACGTAGACGCCCTCGTCCTCGTAGCACACCAGCAGCTCGATGCCGTCCGTGTTTGGCAGGATGATGATGGCGTGGCACTGAATGCTGGTCTGGATCTGGGGACGGACGGAGAGCTTAGTGCGGGGTTGGGGGGGGGTCTGACCGGACTCGGCGCCGCAGCCCTTACGTGTGTGGGCAGGTAGATGTCGTAGACGGCCCCCGAGTCCACGTCCACGGCGTGGAAGCCTGAGCAGGAGCCATAGATGACCTTTAACCTCTGGCCCTCCTCCACTGTTAGGTCCACCAGCAGAGGCTTGTGCACCAGGTCACCAAACGACTAACGGCGGGCAGAAAGGGAGGAGTGGGTTAGGTAAATCAGAGCCCAGGGACAACACCCCAGCCCTAACCCTAACCCCGGCCCTAACCCTAACCCCAGCCCTAACCCTAACCCCGGCACTGAGCTTACTTTGAAGGCCATGAATTTGTGGTAGGGCTTGGGAGCCCAGGCGTACACCTCAACAGCGTTCTTCAAGGCCAGAACCAAGAACTTAATCCTCTCGTACTTGACTGGAATAGAAAGACAGAGCGGGTCAGTCATCCGCCGCTTATCAAACGATCCGGCCTAAAAAAAAAGTCTTGAGCTGCAGCAGGACGAGTGGAAAGCCGAAGCAGCGTACCGACTTTGTAGTGGACGCAGCCCTCCAGGTCACCCACGTTGACCCAGCCCTGCTTTTTCTCCACCTCGGGGTCGTTGTGCAAAATCTTGTTTCTGAGCCATGAAAGGTAATAAACTCTCAGCTTGTTCTTTTTGCCTGCAGGGAGCACAGCAGCAAAGGAAATCAGCCCCTTAGACCCCCCGTCCTCCCCACCGATGCTGACCGGCCCGGAGAGCGCCGCCATGCTGAAAATGTGCAAAGAGTGCAGCGTGGGCAGCACCTGATATGGTGACCAGGACGTTGAGCCCCTCCAGGACGTCCATCTGCTGGATGCGGCGGCGGTTGATGAGGGGGTAGACCTTCCCCTGACCGCTCCGGTCCAGCAGCATCAGGCCGCTCTCCGTCCCCACCAGCAGGTTCACTCCTGGCAGAGACGCACAAAAGCCAGAATCAAACACCCATCTGGAGGGGCGGGGCTAGCGCCGACGCCTTTTCCCCCCAAAAAAAACACACACGTACCCCAAAGGGCCGCACACAGGATCTCAGAGTTGAACCTCTTCTTGTACTTGCGGATCTCTGGAGTGTCGCTGGGTGGACGCGTGTTGACCGGGTTCACGTTGACCACCGAGCCTTTGCGGGACGGGTCGGACCTCAGCGGGTCTGCGAGCCGTCCCTCTTGTCCAAACGCTGCTGAAGGGGACGAGACAAACAAAGGGGCTCGGCATCTCAGCTCGGATCAGAAAGCCAAGTTCTTTTCAGAGCTGAGAACAAACTGAGGAGGAGAAGCTATTTTTCCTCAACTCCCAATAAGCACAACCTGCCCCCTCTGACACTAACAGATCTCCTGCTGCCTTACCCATGTTGTTGACACTGGATGGAGAAATCTGGAGAAGGCGTGGGTCGATGAAGGGAGTGAAGGAAGAGGAAGACTTGTGTTTGGACATGGAGTTGCTCTCTGACTGGGACTGTGAGATATCAGACATTCAGAAGAAAGAGTGGTTCTGATGAAGCAGCTTGAAACTTGGATGAAGAGTGGAGCACAGTGACACTGACATGAAACAGACTCAGATATTCGGCCTTTGATTTTGTGCAGCAAACTGAAATATATATGTCTGATTGATACGTTGATTTAAGGGCAGGTCTGAAGGGGTGAGTTGTAGCTCTGCCCCAGGGGGCTCCTAAAACCACATTCAGCCAAACCCTGCTCAATCATGCTACATTTGCCTGACACATTTTGGACGTTAAAAGTCAAGTTTAAATCCCATCAAGTGAAAAGAGGACATGCTGTAAAGTTAGTGCTTTTCAGAGGGCGAAAACCGTTAGAGGAGAAACAACGTGAGCAACAAGAGGAAATGTGTCGAGTTAGAGGATTCAAACACAAGCTGCAGCTGTGAACTGTTAAAGAGGAGAGAGCTGCTTCTAATCAAGCACACAGAGAAAAGGAGCGCCACCTCACCACTCGTAAGACATTTTGATTCATTCTAGCCCCACCGTCACCCGGTGACGCTACAGCTGTTAATCCCAGAGGCTTCGGCCGAGCTTCCTCCATGCTGGAGCCACATTCTTCCACCAGGAGGCGCCAGTGTTAGTGGCAGTGTATTGCAGCAGGGGGGGGAAAGGATGCGACAGCTCAGAAGATTCAAACCAGGTGGAAGTCAAGTCAGGAAGGGGGCAGAGGAGAGCTGGAGCCAAGCCGGGAGGACACGGAGGGGGAGGGGGGGGGGGCAGCACAAGCAGACAAGGCCTGCACAGCTGGCTTGTACAGACTTACAGATGTGTGCACTTTGTGGTGTACGTGGTCACCAGAGACAGATTCAGTTTCCTGGTGGCTGAGGAGCCACCATTCAGAGCCTGGATGCTACGCACATCTGAGCCTGTACAACTGCCAGCCGTCCATTCCTTGTTTGTTTGCCTCCACCGTGTGAGGGCAACATACCTCTATGGCAGTCAGCTCGTCCAGGGAGATCTGTGGGGTCATTGCAGAACTGGCCTGGCTAGATGAGGAGAGGAAGGAGGAGGAGGAGGAGGAGGAAAGGATGGCTGTGGAGGAGGAGGGGGAGTGATGGCTCTGCTGGATAAGGTCTGGTAGGTGTTGTATGCGACCGGCAAAGCCGTTTTTCTCTGGGAGGCTGTGGCCACTGCCAGAGCCCGGCGAGGAAGAGGAGGAAGATGAGAGACTGACCAACCGCTTTATGTCAGCTGTGCTCTGGAAGCAAGAACAGGCACACTTGGGCTCGAGCAAGCAGGGGGAGGAGGAGGAGCCGTATGTCTGAGAGCTGGGTGACATTACTGACTCCAGTTTAATCCACACACAGCACGCACAAGGCTGGATGTACACGCTAGAAAAATCTGACAGGGTAGATTATCCCACGGAAAAGGTGAACAATGGAGCAGCAAGAGCTCCACGCGGTCCAGCGGAATACAGCCAAACAGAGAAAACGGTGGAGGGGCGGATAAAAACAAAACAAACAAACTGACACTGTACAAAAAAGCTCGGAGAAGCAGAATCAGGCTCTGAGCAGGAAGCAGCTGCCGTCTCACCTGTCTGATGACCAGCGTGCCGTCTTTGGAGGGCGTTGTGGCCAGCTCGCTCTCCGAGTCCTCCACCAGCATGGTCTTTGCCGAGGCCGCGTCCCCGTTACTCAGCCGCCTGCGGAGGCCATGGCACCCACAGGGTTAGTGAGGGGCGCAGGTGTGTAGCCGCCGCCACACCCAGAGACCACGCCCCCCCTCTTACCCGGCTCGGGAGTCCTCGGCTCCGGATGTGGACTCCTCCCCCGCCTCCTGGTCCACCTCCTCGTCGTCCTCCTCGTCTGTGGTGCCCGAATCCTCGCTCGAAGAGGAGTAGTCCGTCACTTTGTGTGGAGGCCGCACATCGTCCACGGCCCGCAGCTCCTTCGCCAGAGCCGTCAGGTCCTGGGGGGGGGGGGGAAACCCACCTTTCATGCTTTGTTTTGTTCAACCCCAAAACGCCATTTATCTTAACAAATCTAGTTAAAACTGAAAGGAAGCTGAATCAGAACGAAACGGTGTGCGGAATGTGACGGGAGCCTTGAAGCAATCCCTCCTGTCTTACAGAGATCTAATCTGGATGTTACTCTGTTGGATTTCCTGCACGCAGGCTCAAATCTGTTGTTTATTGAGCAACTCAGCCCTGGGCTGATTTAAAAATGTCAGGTTGAGAACATGTTTGATTTCACCTTAGATCTGGTTAAGTCTGAGCTCCGGGATGCAGACAGATAAGCAGCATATGGCTCGGAGCATGTAATCGGATCGTTAATGAATCACTTTGTCTCAGGTCCTGGACCCATGTTGCCCTGCTCGTTTTCTTCCGCGATGCAGGCTTGCAAGGTCACTGACAAGCAGGAAAAGGGAGGAGGGATCCTTCCCCGACATGCCCAACAAAGCAAATGGGCCACAGTTTATCCCACAACAAAGCCAGGTGAGATTAGGAGCCACTCTGACAGGAGCAGGGAGACGGGAGGGCTGTGTGCGCATTCAAATGTGGGCGCATTCAAATCCAGGCTCAGGAAGCTGCAGCAGATGGTTAACTCTTTTGCTGCCTTTTGTTGACGGCAAACAGGAGGGACAGTACCGAACAGACAATGGGCGCAAGAAGGCAGTCAAATCACAGACGTCTGAAAAAGAAGCGAGTTAATCCCCACAATGGAGCAAACCCCATTCCATCATCCCAAACCCTCATCATATAATGTGCTGAGCGGGGTTTTGGTGCAGGCATAGCATCGGTGTGACAATGTAATCTCATTTCAAAGGCTTACCACATCACCCTAAATGGTTCCCCAACAATCAGAACCCATTGGATTGAAGCTTTCAGACACCAGGTGCTTGGGTAATTAGAGCGGAAAATACACGAAGGTGAGAGAAAAACAAAACCCGGTTTTGGCCCGTTCACCACGTCAAAAGAATGACACACGCTTTAATAACGGTGGACTTACAGCTGGTCGAGTGGGCCTGGAGAGGTTCTTTTCATCCGTTTTTTTGGGAGCGTTTTCAGGCCGCTGGAGAGGCGATCCTTCAGATTTAGAGGAAGCTTTGTGGAAACAAAGGAAAACGGCATAAGTGAGGGGAAACAGAACTGGGCTGGGAGATTAGGCCTCTGAGAGGATTTTTCTGTGGCTGAGTAAAAGCTGCCCGAGAGCAGTGTTGGAGTTCTGAGTGTTATGAAGGCGATAAGCAGCGTTGGTGAAATGTAGCCGAGTACAGTACCGGGGGACTCACAGCGAGGCCTGAAGCGCTCGCCCGGACTGGCCTGGGCGCTGGAGTTGGAGGAGCCCGAGGAGCTGCCGCTGCCCGGCCGAGACTGCAGCTTCTCCACGCGGTCCCACAGTGGGCGCTGCTCCACATTTCTGAGACGGAGACAAACAGCAGATTTAACACATCGCAGGGGAAGGAAGAAGCTTCCCATCCCAGGGATGTGTGGCACATAAACCCTGCTCAGGCGGGAGAAGGCAGCACTGCCACCACACCATCCGGATGAAGTGGTATTCTCTCATCTTAACCACGACCGAATGACTGAACTGAGCAGTTCTCTTCAGGTCAGGAATCCCTGCATTTGCAACACTGACGAACCCGGCCATTCGTTTCTTTTTTGCCACCATAGTTCCGTTGGAACTGGATGCTTTGGTATCACTTTGGACAGTTTTGTCTGAGCAGCGGCAGAACCAAACAGACTTATTTACCCGCCGGCATTCCTCTGGCTGCTGGGCTGAGATGGCAGGGGAGACTCTCGGCGTGACAGCACAGGAGACCTGGAAGTTGTCCTCACCGGTACCTGCCGGAGAGAGTCAGACGCCGTCACACTCACGGTGAAAAAGGCTTCAGAAAACAGCTTGGTTATCGTGGGGGGCCCCGGTGTGAACTCATGGGAGGCCGGACACAGCACGGCAGACGCAGACAGGCAGTGGATGACAGATGGTCGGGGTGGGGAGGGAAAAGGCGGCCCCTCGCCGGCTCCTTACCTTGGGAGGGACCTCCTCGCTGCTGTTCTGGTGTTCAAGTCTAGATTGGGCCTGAGGGTGGTGGAGGGGATGTTGGGGTTGGGGGTCAGTGCGTGCGGGCGAAGGGTGGTGGTGGTGGTGGTGATGATGGGGGTCCTGGGAACGCATGTGGAGTTGTGCAAAGCTAGAGGCCACATTGCCAGATTCGCTGAAGGACTGGGAGCGAGAGACCACAGGCGGAGGAGGAGGAGAGGGGGCGGCGCTGTTGCTGCTCTTTAGAGCGGCCAGGTGTGACCACTGGACCTTTTAGGGAGTTAGGAAGGGACAAGAGGAAGAGGAGGGAAGGGGGGGGGGGTGAAACAAGCAGACAAAACAGTGAGACACAAGGGAAGATGTGCGAGGCTTTGAACACATGTGCTTTGATATATAAACAGGCAAACAAAGAACAGAAAACAGGGATGTGGGCCTCTCAGGTTCAGTCTGGGCTTTCAGACACCAGAACACAACTGCGAGGCCTGTTTTGTTTTCTGCCGATAACTAAAGTTTGTCTGGAACCCCGCTGAGTGTATTTTCCTGGATGTTTGTATCCAGATTATAGCAAGTCATCTGCTGTGAACACGCTCGGGGCCGCTTGTTATGCCTTGATCTAAAGTTAAAACAAAAACCTGACACGGCCGTTTGACAGCACTGTTTCATGCAGAGGAGGAGGAGACAGAGGACAGTGGAAGGAGCAGGGGGAGGTACCTGAGGTTCCATGGGGCGATGCATGGCGGAGGCCTCGGAAGAGGAGCCGCCATTGGAGTAGGGTTCAGAGGAGCGGGGAGGCAGAGGGGGCTGCTTGGGAGGAGGGGCGGTCTGAGGGGAGCCCTGGATATTCTTACGGTAGCGCTCGTCCGCCTGGGATGAGGGATTGGCAAAGGAAAGAGATGGGATGAGGCTCGGGAATAATCAGGAAACCGAGTAATAAAAGAACAGGAACCACTCCTCCAGGTTCTACAGAACACAAATTTAAGTGGATACTACCACTGAACAGCTCTGGATTTAAAGGTGGTTCCGCTCTCCTTTCATTTTCTAATCTGATGGTGCTGTTATGTCGAAGCAATTATAGTCAAAACACAGCTGTCGATAAAGAGAATAAACATGCTGGAAGCCCATTCGAGGCAGCCATAAAGACAGGAGGTGGACACAGAACTCCTTCAGAGTTAAAAACATCAGGGAGGAAAAGATTACTGTTAAAGACACAGAGGTTTGTAGATGATGGTGCGCTGTGTGTTAGTTGGTTCTCATGCAAGCGTCCACTCATGGCTCCCACAGCCGTATGGAGGAGATTTCAGATAAAGGTCGCTGGACAAAACCAGGATTTCTATCCCAGTCGGTCCACCCTGCATCATCAGCCTGCTGCAGGAACACAATATCAACTACAGAGTGACTGGAATCCACGCATTCTTTTTTCTTTTTTTTTTTTATCACCCCAAACCTAAAAGCTGCTTCCAGCAGCTGCAAATCCAAAGGGAGCAAAGACGAGCATTGGGTGTGAGGGAAGCTGTGGGTGTGCGGCAGCCAGCGGCTCCATCATCATGGCAACGGAGGCTGTGTGAGGGCAAAGCAAGAGGACGGCGGAGACAGCAGGCAGCGGAGCGGACGGAGCCGAGGGGGGGCTTCACCTCTCCGATTGGCTGAGGAGATTGACTGCCAGGCTCGGTTGGCCCGACGGGCTCCAGACCTTCTGCCTGGGGAGTTTTAGAGTCAGAGGGGGCTTCAGTCCTAGGCGGATATGGGATGGGAGAGGGGGGGCTCTTGCTGGGAAGGCTCTCATCGGCATCCTCTTGCGCCGCCGCCTGGGGTTTGGTGCGGTCCGAGGGGAGGGCGGGGGCGGCTCCGGAGGACTCGCCGGTGCCTCTCGCCACGGCAACTTCGAGCACCTGCGCTTGGGGGGTTGCGGCGAGAGCTCCGTCGGGGGGCAGGGTGGAGGTGTGGGGGGGTTTGCTGTGGTGGGGGGGCTGCGCTTTGGACTGGTGCTGCAGCGACAGCAGGTAGGCCTGCTCCTGCTGCAGCCGCTGGTGCAGCCGCTCAGCTTTTCGCTGCTCCTCCAGCTCCCGCCACTTGAACTCCTGTCACAGAGCGCCGGGGGTCATTCGCGGTGGGGTGAACGAGACGAGAGAGCGGCACACTTATCCGGACAAGGAGTCCGACCTGTGGCTTAAAGGGTTGTCTAAACCCGGACCGTTTGGTTAAAAAGGTGGATTTGCGGTTTTTAGCGTCAGGATGATAAACGACAGACACCAAAAAAAGACACCAGACGCCTCTCAAAACTCTGCAGTGCAGATTTCAGCATCAACAACATCGGACCAGCTCAGAGAACCGGACAGAAATGCACCCGGGACACTTTGTCCCACCACCAGACGCATTCCCGTCACGCTCTCGGAGGTCTCCAATCCACTCATCACCCGACGGCCACGTTCAGGATTTTTTTTTTTGGACAAAAAAAGATGTGTTTAAACACAGAAATGACTTGCTGGCTGCGCCTGAGGTTGAACCTTCAGAGGGAAAACTGTGTGAGACTGACCAGCAGCATGGCCTGTTCACGGAGCAGCTGCTCCTGCAGCTTCTCCAGGTGGCGCTGCTCCTCCTCCAGCTGACGCCTGATGTACTCCTGCCAGAACAGGAAGAAACCATCAGGGCTGGAAATACATTCTTCATGCTTGTGCGTGTAGAGACGTTAGGCCGGCCCCCCTCAGAACTGAAGAACACCCACCTGCTCCCGGTCGTTCCTCCTCTTCTCGTCCTCGGCGCGCCGGCGCTCCTCCTCCTCCTTACGTCTACGGTCCATCTCCTCCATGCGCCGCTTCTCCTCTTGCTCGCGCCGGCGCTGCTCGCGCTCTTGTTGCCTCCGCATCTCTCGCTCGCGCCTTTGTTGCTGTTAACGCAGGAAGGACCCGTGTTTGGTGTGATTACACCGAGCGGATGGACAAAAAAGCAAATAACAACAAACACCGGCACCCACCTCCTCCAGACGCCTCCTCTGCTCCTTCTGCTGCTCGATGCGCTTCTGCCTCTCGGCCAGCAGCTGGCGCTTGTACTCCTCTTGCTCTCGGAGCTGCTGCTCCTGGAGGAGCTGCTGGTGGCGCAGGGCCTCCGACCGCTCCTTGTTCTCCTGCTGCAGGCGGATGAAGTCGCGGCGGAGAGTCGACTCGCCGGGCACATTGACGATGGAGCTGGAAGATGGCAGAGAGGGAGGCTTAGAAGGAAGGGTGCGCTCGCTTTTGGGAAGTGAGGCAGGCTGAAGACAGTACCTCGGCTCTCCTTCCTGCTCCTGGGGGTCCTCTTCATCGTCCTCGCTGCCGCTGTACTCATACTCTGTCTCATCTGAAAATCAAATAAAAAAAGCATTGCTCATCACCAGACTCATCATCAGATGACCAGACACCAGTGATTCAAGTTGTTTTTTTACTGTGAGGAAATAGCAAGGACAAAGCAGACGCACCCTTCTCGCCCCTCTTTTTCTTCGTCCGGTCGATGTGGTCTTTCAGCTGGATGCGAACCTGCCTCTCGTTGGGCTGGTCGCGGATGAAGGGATGCTTCAGCAGCTGGTCTGTCGGCGGGCGCTGAGTGTAGTTCTTCACCAGACAGCTCTCGATGAAGCTGAAAAACTTTTTGGACCTGTGGGGATTGCAGACGAGAGGGAGTAGACGTGTCAGCCAGCTAAATTTATGCCGAGACCAGCGAGCCAGATGAACTGTGAGCGGGATGCAGGGACACGCAAACAAGACTCAGAATCCAACACGAACTCTATAACGCAGCCCCAGCCTCCTCAGCAGAAACTGATTTTTATGCACAGAGACAGGCAGCACGGAACCTTTCACTGCATTTATTCCATGAAAACTCAAATATGGGACACGCCACAGTCAGATTATCATCACCGTCACACCTGCTGCCGTTCAACCTGAACAGGAAATGACAACGGCAACACAACCCATCACCCAGGCTAGACGGATCTGTGCGGCTGCTCGGAGAGCAGATCAGGCCATGCAAACAACGGTTCTCATCTAAATCCCCAATGGAATAATAACGAAGAAAGGAAAGGGTTCGGGGTTTGAGCGGGCGCCAGGGGAGGCTGAGTCTGCCAGAGCAGGTGGACCGCAGATGTTCACGTACGCAGGAAAACGAGACGAAGCAGAAACTCCCATCAGGCGTCTGCCGGGGCTCAGGCCACCATCAACTCAAAATGCAGAGGAGCGTCCATGGAAAAAGACAGAAAAGAGGACAACTGCATGGTAATACTCACCATTTTTTGGATTTGAGCCTCGGAGGGGGGTTTCTTGGAATGAGGAAGAGCGCACGCATGGGGTGCATGTCACAAAGTGCTGCAAGAAGGGTCCAAAAATCAGACAGGGTTCAGAAGACTGAGGCCTAAAAAGCTCAAGTTTTAGGAAGTGAAACTCACGTGGTGCTCCTTCAGCCATTTCAATCGCTGTGATACCACAGGACCACAGATCACTCTGCAAGTGGGAGAAAAAGTGCATGTGAGCGAAGCCGGGCGCACGCACAGGTCAGACACAGAGCAGGACACGCCGGGGGGTCTCACTCTGTAATCGTAGGTGGCGTCCGGGTTCTCGTCACAAGCGATGACCTCAGGGGCCATCCAATAAGGAGTCCCGATGAAGGTGTTTCTGCGGCCCACTGTCCGGTCCAGCTGGGCGCTCACGCCAAAGTCCACTGGGGAGAGTCGTGAGGGGGGGGTGAGGTTTCATCCCGCACTGTGACCCGAAAACAGACGATCCGCCCACCGATGCGGTCAAAGCAGGCGTCACTCACCAAGTTTGACCTCGGCGTTCTCGGTCAGGAGCACGTTTTGGCCTTTGATGTCGCGGTGGATCACATGGTGGGCGTGCAGGTGGGCTAGCCCCTGAGGAGACAAATTTGGTTCACTTTATTCCTCTAATTGAGTATCAATGTAACAGTGCTTTTAATCACACACATTCAACATGATAAAAAACGATTTCTCTCTCTTTAAAATAAGTTAGAAAGCGAAACTGAGCTTTTTGAAAACTAACTGATTGAACAGTAAGAAGTTTAACCGAGGTTTTTCTTTTGTAGCTAAACTGTAGGCTGACTCAGAAAATGATGACATGGTTGGAAAAGGCATGAGTCAGATGCCATTTCTGTCAGCTCCGTATTGTTCGGACGGATGAAAGGCTGCTCTGATCCGCTCAGATCCTCCAAATCAGGTGAGCGGAGGCAGGATGAACTCACTCTCAGGATCTCTCTGGAGATGTAGGCGATCCAGTCCTCCTTCAGCTGGTTCCCCTTGGTATTCTTCACCAGGTCAGTGATGGACCCCGCACCACAGAACTCCATCACCAGCTGCAGGACACAAAATATGAGTTTGACGCATACCCCCCCCTCTCCACCTACATTTCCAGAGTGGATCTGAGGACTTACCCACAGCTGGTCATCGTGTCCGGGGGGGCTCTTCTTAATGAAAGCGCCATAGTAGGTGGCTATGTTTCTGTGGTGGGAATACTTCTTCAGCATGTTGATCTCCAGCTTAATTTCCTCCTCCTCATCCTAAGACAAAAGGAGTGTGTTTAGCAGTGCAGGAAATTCTTTTTCAAAGACAAAACTGTCACTTTCTTGAGGAATCAAGCCTTTAATTATCAGCAGCAGTTGAGTGGCATTTCATTCCAGATTTTAATCAATTCACCGACAGACTTTAGGTGGTACGTCTGGAGCTATGTGACCTTGTGCACTTTGCCTGGCCGGGGCTTTTCTGTTAAATATCTCTAGGCCTCAGCCATACAATGCCGCAGACATCATTCAATGGGCAAATGATTCCTTTGTTTAGGGATTAATGACGCATGGGTGAGTTGCAGTGTAAGTCAGATAAATTAGACTGATGGCAAATCCGCATATATATTCCCATCCAGCTGATATCCTTATTAGGCCTGTGTGGAGCTGGAGGAAGGCCAAGAACAAGAGCATGAAACGTTACCTGAGAGAACAAATCGATTTTCCTGCTGGAGGCCGGATCACCGAGGGAAGATGTACTTAATCAGCAGGACGAGCAACACATTTAGTGCATTTTCGTTGTGAAGAAGCAAAAATCAACTGGCAGATGTAGCAGTTGTGCCCGGTTTAATGACCTCCATTGCACATAATGTCAAAAAGAAAAAAGGTCACCACTGGCTGCAGCCTGCACCCAGCAGCAGCTGGACACTGATCCACAGTGACACACTAATTGAACCCATGCAGAGATCAGTCTGCAAGAGCTTTGCTGTGTGGCTGCATGAACTCCTACAGAGTACCGAGGGAGGAGGCCGCTGAACGCAGAGGCGGTTTTACCACCTTACAAATGCACGTGAGAGCGCAGCGTTTAGGCTTTTGCTGGAGCCACCGGCAGGCCTATCAGGGCCGAAACGCAGCCATGTGGAGCTTTTACTGCAGGAGAGCAGCATGGAGAAGAAAATGGCAGTTGGCCATCTATGCAGGCAGCCATACTGCTGCTGCATGACTCCGGAGGGTTGACGTAAGCTTTTTTGTTTTGTGTGTGCGTGTGTGTGTTTGTGTGCGCACACGGCGCTCCTCTACCCCCTCTCTGCTGTGCAGCTGTTGAATTATCACACTGCCGACTGTGAAAGCCTCCCTGCCACCAGTCACATGGTGTGGGGAAGGCAGACAGTGGTGTGGTGATGTGTGTCAGGGAGAAGGATAAACTCAGAGAGGCTTTGGTCAGATGACAGCGCCGAGGAAACGAGGGACTAACAAAATGTCAGCCCACAACAAAGATGCCACTAATCTGCCGTACTAGGTCACACATTTTAATCACGCATTCGGCTCACAGGAGAGAATACAAATATAAAAAACTAAATCTTATTAACGACCAACTCCGTGATGTGGAATAACTTTGTTTTTGTAACAAACTAATCTTTAAATCTCTCCTGATGAACATAGATCTGTAAACTTAACATTGTTTGGAAATGTTCAAACAAATTAAATACATTTCTATAAATTTTTTTAAGACCATTTCAAAATTCCACAAGAAGACTAAAGATGGTAAGAGAATAGAAATAAAGACAAACAAAGCGACTATGTGCCTGAGCAGTCACCAATCAGGTCAGTGTCATGACACAGAACGCCGTCTCATCGCGCAGAGCGGTCCATATTTAGCACCTGGGCTGTGCGACAGCGCCCATGAGTGGAGGAGGAGTGTTTGGGCTTGAGAATGTGGGTCAGAGTGACCCTGAGCAGACCAGAGTGCCAGTGGGTGAGCTCCACAGACAGGACCGACTGATGCATTGTCTATTATTTCAGAAGCCATCTTCCAATTAAAAATGACGGGAAGACACAACCAGAATACAGTTTCACACCTTTGGGGCTGGCAGACTGAAACTGCACAGCGAGGGGGGGGGGGTTACCGGTGTGTTGTAACAAAGTCTTCAGCTGCATGCAGGTTACTGAGAAAAAGAAAAGACGAACTGATCATATTTGCTGACTCTGGCTTCTCTTGGGGGTTCTGTCCCTGTAGGCGGCGCCGTGCGGGCACCTGCTGCGCTGACGGATCATTAACCACCTGTCAACACATCAGCCAAGGTTTCGACACGTCTCAGACACTCCTGCTTCGTCAACCGGGACAGGCAGCGGTGGGGCAACGCTTCCGTTCACAGGAGGGCAAATAAGTTGAGCCTGTCTGACTCATGCTGACGTGAGCTCAGACGAGGAGTGGCGACCTGCAAGTCAGGGCCAGGAACCGTGAGCGCTGGCTTCTGACTGCTCTCTGACTGGGAGTGTGTGGCTCGGAGCAGTAAATGTTTACCTGATGGCTTTAGACTGCACCGGGTCAGCTAAAAGGAAAGCCGTCACTCCTCTGTTAGCTCAACACGGGTCATTGGCTTTCTGGCTTTCGGCGCTACGCTAAAACTCCTCTCGTGTGTTTTTGTAAATGAGAATGTGTGAGGTGTTTGACCTTTTCCTCGGCCTCACCTCTGTGACGTCCATGACTTTGATGGCAGCCAGCTGTCCGGTCTTGACATGTCGTCCCTGTGAAGAAACACAGTGTTGAGCTTTTATCGATCTTTATCCTCCTTTTAAATCCTACTTGTTGCATCTCAGCCTGGAAAAAAATTGATTTGATCATCTATTCAGTTAATATCTTTGGGCTTTGGCAAAGTAATAAAGACTAATGAAATTGTGAACCACGAGATGCACCGCTGCGACATTCTGCAGGAAAAAAATAATAAACCAACCGAGAGTGAAAGTATTTCTTCTCCATCCTGTCAAAATCTGGTAAATGTAGCTGCTTTACACTGAAAGCGTCTCAAATCAGATGTGCAAACACATATGAGCTGATGAATCCCAGCATTCCCAGACTTCCCAGCGCTCGTAGCACCCGGCTGCCACTCCTTACATAAACAAAGGACTGAAATAGAGGCCTCTCCACACCCCCTCCCACCCGAGTCCTGAGAGGAGATAAAACATTGGAACATTCTTGAGAGCTGACCCACATGGGTATTCCCCTTCTTTTCTGGGACAACACAGCAGCGATAATGCGTCTGTGGGGGGCGCACGCAGCCGTTCATTCACTGTACGGACATCATTAGCATTAGCAGACCCCCCCCCCCCCAAAGCAGCAGCGCTGTCATCTTAGCCAGTGCATTCCTTAGTCAATTGAAACTGTATGGATTATGACAATAAACTCTATGCCGGCTTAGGGGGCCTCTCCTCTCAATGGGGAGGAGGGGGGCGAGAGGGACACTTTACAATGACTTTAATCCTCTCCACTTTGATCCCGGGGGTCACCGCTGCAAAAACAACACGGCGGCTGACATCACAGGCCTCCGCTCCCCCCTCCCAGCAGCTGGCTCACATGAAGCCCACTTTGCTGGGTTCACAGGTCACAGGTGCAGCCAAGAAGCTCAACCTAACGAGCACTACGGCGACCGTTCAGAGTCCAAATCAAGTCCGACGGCTTCAGAAACATGACTTGCACCTAGCAAACAGAAGAGCGCCAGACAGGCACATTCTGGTCAGACTCCTGTATCAACATGTCCAGAGGAGAGCGCTGAGGAGGAAAAGGTCACACTGTGGGCATCGTTTTCCTGCATGAATCATAGGGGTTGTTTGTGATGACATCTTTCAGACAGGGAGGGGATGCTAAAAATGAGCAGGAATGAGAGGAAAATTCATTTCCATCCCTCTACTTCCCAGGAATCCGCCTCCATTGGTTTTTGGCCGGTGGAACGCGGCAAAATGATCACAGAACCAAATCTCTCTTTCTGGCTGATTACACTCTACAGCTATTAATTAGCTATTAGCTTCTCAAATCTATTAATCACACCAATGACATAACTTTATAAATATGTACGAAATAAAGAGCCTCGACTTCTAATCATCAGCTTTGGCAAAGGGTCAGGTGGCGTTTTAGCCGCCTCAGGCAGTTATGGTCAAACAATCCCAAACGTTTCCCAGCGTGTGGGACGGTTATCTAAGCCTGAAGGTCACCCAGCTGATACCACAAAGCAGCTGAGCAGGGTTACACTTCATTTGCTCAGTCAGGGACAGGACTGCTGCTTGGTCCTCCACACTGAAGTGGCTGCTGGAACAAAAAAGCATCAGCGTTTGTGGACGAATCGGCTAAAGTAGCTACACGTCTTGAAAAAGTAGTTTGTGGAGAACATCCCGTTGATCAGTCAGAGAGGGTCGGGAAAAGCAACTGGGTTCAACTGGGTGATGAGCTAGACCCAAGTATTTTTTTGAGCTACTCAAAAGTTTTCTGTTCCTGTTACCAAAACCCCGCTGAGCTCCGGGCCTCAGGACGCTCACAGATCATCCCCTGGAGGTCTGGAGCTGGCCCTGGTGGGCCTCCTGCAGGAGGCAGTAAGGCGTGGCTGCGGAGGGGTTATCTAAGGCTGGGAGTTATCACTCAGCCTTCCCTGGCCTCCTTCTCCACTCCCTGCATCGATTCTCCTCTTAACCGTGGCCAGATGTGCCGCTGGCCTCAGTCCAGCTCGCTGCTAAACCACCGAATGGCTTATTGCCTTAAGAGCTGCACATTAAGTTTAAAACTACCCCCACCAAACGTGATGCACTCCTTCTGGGAGAGCTCAGTCAGAAATGTCAGGCGATGCTCTAAAAGGCGTGCCCCCCCCCCCCGCGCAGAGACGCACGAGTAATGGAGGTACAGGTTTTCTGTGGGGGGAACCAGCGATTTGCGCTCTGGGCTGAGAGTGGTTGCCCGGCAGCATCAGCGAGCAGAGTGCTGCACCTCACGCCGCTTCCCCGCGGCGGGGCGCGGCCTCATTCACATTAGCGTGCGATCAATCACACTTAGCAGCCGCTTGGACACAGGCCAGGTCGGCCGGCTCCCGCCGCGGCGGCTCTCCCCTTCGGCCGAGGCCCCGGCGGCGCCGCGCCCCGGGCGCAAAGCAAGCCCTGGTTTTATGTCATTAGCTCATACAGGTAGAGCGCCGGACGGTTCTTCAAAAGGTCACTGGTCAGAGGGAGTGTGTGCGCGGTGCTGAGAGGACCCCTGCCTCCACCCGGGTTGTGCGAAGACCTGAGGTGACATCTGAACTGACAGGGTCAGCCGCAGAGCGACAGCCTCCATCCGGGGCAGAAAGCTCTGCTTCCCCTACACACACTCACACACTGCGGCCCACGCTTTGCTCCACATGCATCAGAAAAGTCCAGATCAATCAGCTGTGAGCGGCGGCTCCCCTCTGGGCTCGTCCGCTCCACTCTGCCGCTTCACCCCAGCACACTGACCCACTTCCCCAGCAGAGGTCCCCCGCGGGGGCAGGGGCCACGCTCACAACGCAAAGACCAGGAAGCAGAGGAGGCTGAGGGCGGGGCGAGACCCGGAAGCCGCCAAAGAGCTCTGGAGCTGCTGGCCCGTGTGCAGCCGCTCACCAGGTAAAAAGGGTCAAATCAACCGGAGCCTTTATATGATCTGTATGAAGCTCGTTTGCCTCCATAGAAATAAATCAATAGGAGAAGATGTGTAGCCGCTGCCAGCTCATGCATAAAAAGAGAGAGCCTTGTTCAGAAAATGTGGTCTTGATGAGCGACACAAACAAGGGGCTTGCTTCTTCCACCCCCGTCTCCGTATCTCATCACGACTCTACTCCAGTAATGAGGCGACTCAATGAGCTCCACACACACACACACACACAGACACAGAGAGTTTTGTTGGGGCGGTGTGTAAGGGGACGCTGCAGGTCTTGTGACATCAATTAGGAAAAGGGTCAGTGTGTGTGTGTGGGGGGGGGGGGGGATGGGCACAAAAGACAAACACTGTCTTAAAGTGTGTTATGTCAAACCAGAGTTTCAAATGCTTCACACAGAGCAGCTCAGAGCCTGAAGCCGACACACAGGGAAGGTGGGACACAACGTGGGCCCCCCGGCCCTGATGTAGCGAGAGCAGGACATCCAACCCCCCCCCGGAAAGCTGCCCCCGCTGCCTTTATCGCTGGTGGCTGTGTGCACTGACACTGAGGCGTTCTCTCTGTGTCTGCCAGGCTTCGCAGCCAACTGCTGAGAGGCTGAGGGTCCCTCGGAGGGAGCTGCACAGGGGTCGGTGAGGATTAACCTGAAGTCAGGCATCGTGTCCCACCCCCATCGCGACCAGCGCTCTGCCTCATGCGCCCCCATTTGCTGCGCTTAAATGCAACTCCCAGCGACCGTTTGCTGATGCCGACGGACTAAAAACGCCCCCGCCCCGCTCCATTACAATAATTTCTTAATGTGACTTTGATGGTTTAATCCCTCGTAAACGCTGAGCTAAAGCAGAGCAGCCTCGGCCAGCCCCATATGGCACTAGCAGGCATTTAACAGCCTGCAGGAGAGCTTCCTTTCCTTCCTCAGCAGCACTCAGCGTCCATCAGGCACAGCTCGCCCCCTGAGGACGACCCTTCATCAAAGGGGAGGAAACAAAGATAGAACATGGAGGACGAGAGCAACAACACCACTAGCAGCTCCTGAATGCTCCTGAGTGGTACCAGTAAAAACATTAGAAAAGCCTGCTGTATGCAGGGGGGGGTTAAACAGGGAAGCCATCTTTCCGTTCGCTGAAAAATCTTTTTGACATTGATTTGACACAGCTGACCAAAAGCAGGGGCATGGAGGTATGAGAGGACGGATGGAGCGGCCCTGGCACGGCCCAGGGACGCATAGCAGGCAGGTCACACAGGTCTGACTATATAAGGCTGTAGTGTAGAGCAGGGGGGGGGGGTCTCCTCTGCATACCACGCTCACTTTGAGGAATTGGGACTTTATCCGTTATCGTTAGTCAGCCTTTCCCCCTGCTATCCATATGTCCAAAAAGCGAGGCACTCAGGCCCTCCTGCTCAGCCCACTGGCCCGGCGCCAGCTGATAAGGAGGGAGTGGAGCTCAGGGAAAAGCTCTTTGTGTGATGCATGAGCAGTATGTAAAAGCAGGGTGGCTTCATATTTTGAAATACCGTAAATAATTACAAGAGACTAGCTCTTTGTGGCTGACTAATATAACGCAATACTTCCCTCAGATGAGCTCATTGCTATTGACCAAGACACCAAGCAAATCCTCTTCCAGTAGCATGCCTCAGCTACTGGTTATGGAGGCTGTTCAAGGATTGCTTTTGACCATCAATCTGCAATAACTCCATACTCTGATCCTGCCGTGCCCCTATTTGACAGGATGTGAGGGTAAAAGAGTCCTAATCTGGCAGAGGGACTGGTTAAGTGCAGTGATTCTGTCTCAGTTTAAACAGACTCAGGCTTTAGGCCCCCCTCAGGCAGATGCCCCAGGCTAAATGAAGTGATTTAAAAAGGTGCCTTTTGACCTTAATGTAATTTTCAATATGGTTGTCAGTCAAAAATTGAAAAAAAGCTGTGCTGCGTTTTCAGAAGTGGGCTGGGATCTGGCTGCTCTCCAGAGGCGACGGCTGCCCTCTTGGCAGAGCCAGCAGCTCTGCAGAGCCAGCAGCACGGCGTGGCCCGAGAAACCTTGACACGGCATTTTGAGTCTCAGAGGATGGCCTCCTGTCCTTATTTTCAGGGATGATTTTTTTTATTTTTTAGTTCAGTTCACAACATGTAAGTTACCGTTACTGCCAAACGATACTGGGATGTATAAAACATTGAATAAATTCAGTTTATCTAGTAAAATAAATAAATAAAACACACTGATCTTGGGCATACAACCATGAGCTGATATTTTGATTCAAGTACTTTTCTTCATTACACAGGTAAACTCATCGTCTAAAAGGAATCATAAGTCACCAAAAGCCAAAGAGGGAAGAATCCGGGCCACATTGTGCCATCTGAAAGGGCCAAACTGTGACTGAGCGCCGGACAAAGCAGAAAAGGCCTCAGAGGGAGACCAAACTCCACCCCGTTTTCAGTTGAGTGGAAGGCTGTTGTGATTATTCAGTCGGTTGGACTTTGAAACCCTGCAGACAAACGCCTCCTTTCTGAGGCCTAACTGACGGACGGACAGAGGGACCCAAACCAGCGCCGAGACAGACCCGGCTTTGTGAGAGCGCCGGGCAGCTTTCTGGACAGCTGCAGCCGGCTCCACACCAGCCTTGCTGTCCGGCAGCCTCGCTGCACATGCTCAGTGGGTCAGCGTGACGGGCAACGCGGCCGCTGATGGACAGCTGATGGACCGGCGCCGCCCTCACAGTCAGTCTCACACAGCAGCGCGTGGAACTGACGTCGCACCGGACAGCGAATGGGGGGACTGACCACAGGGACCCAGAGGGGGAGAGGCTGTAGCGCCCGGCTCAAAACCGGGACCACGCCACGCCAGCAAACCCCTGGCAGCAGCCACATCCCACAGGGCCGGCTTCAGGGGTGGGGGGGGGGGAGGCCCGAGCACATGCTCTGCCGTTCCCGGCGGGGGAGATGCTGGGAGTTGAGCGCTCTGGGGAGGCCTGAATGCAGGTCACTGGAGCTCTGAGAGCACAGATCTGCATTCTGAGCGTAGCTCGCTGCTGACCTCACACAGCTACCAATCACTGGCCTGCTGGACACACCAGATATCTGTGCTGCTGGATGGCATTCACACAGATATCCGTCCCTCTCCCTCCTGGCTGATGTCTGAACATCAGCACGAGACAAGAGCTGCATTCACTGACCTGGAAAGAAGCTGTGATTTTGTGCATTGAAAACTACCTTTGTCTGCTTTTTTTTTCTAAGACAGAGGAGGGGCTGAAGGATTAATCTTTCAGAGGATATTCCCTCATCGTCTACTTTTCCACAACACAGGTGATGCGTCAGACTGGGGAAGGTCTGATTCAGGCCTGACACACAGCTGAAAGCTGAAAAAAACATCAGGCAGAAACTAGGACTCCAGACTGGAGGTTTCAGCTGGGCCCTGCCTCGTGTGGTCAGACAGCATCTACTTCTATGTGGCATCCTTCGCTCTAATACACGAAAAGGGGCTGAAATGTCTTTTTTGTTGTTGTTATGCTGAGCTTCCACTGTGGAAACAGGACAGGCCATGCACTTCGCCTCACACCAACCTTGTATACTTGTCCGTAGGTGCCATTTCCAACCACCTCCACGAGCTCGAATATTCCAGCCGGATCCTGAAAAGGAAAGCAAAGGCAGTTTGAATTTGGGAGAAAAAAAAAGTCAAGCAGCTTTCTTTATGTGGAGAAAGCCCGTTAGCGCCGTGAGCCAGCTGTTGCGCCCCGCTCTCCCCAACATGCCAAACGCATCTCGAACAAAGGAACGGCAGACACTGGCAGCCCCTCGCCGCGGCTCAGCGCTCATTTCCCAGCTCCTCGCCTCCGAAAAAGCACAAACACCGACCGACGCCGTGCTACCCGCACGCCTTAGCCGCGGAGGAAGGCGTACGTTCGACCGAGGGGGCGGAAGAAAAGGCAGCAAACGAGCAGAAAAACACGGGCTCAGGTCGGCAGCGCTCACCCGCAACGAAGCCAAGTCTATGTCTACCAGACTTTTAGCCGGAGAGTCGTTCGCCATCTTTCCAATAAACGCCGGGCTTTCCTCGGTCCTAGCAGAAAAAGGGGCCCCTGTCTCGTCAGAGAGAAGGGGGGGGGGGCTCGGCGGGCGGGGGGTCGCGCAGAGGCCGCCGGGTGTTCCTCTCTACGGGCGCCGCTCCTCAGCAGTGGACGCTGGGCTCTCGCTCCTCCATGTTGAGGTGGCAGGGCTCCCTGTGCTCCCTCACGGCGCTGCCTGCCGTCAAGCTGCCTCCGGAGGCCCAGCTTCCGGCGGACGGCTTCAGAGCAAAACCCCCGTGTACGCCAAAAGCTCCAAAAGCACACGATCTCTGTAAAAAAAAAAAAGTTTTTAATCTCCACGAATCAAACACAAGACCAAAATAAAGCCCCAAAACTACAGGCTCTGAAGGGCAGACGGGGAAATATTTGTGTTGAATTCTACATCTCATTGTAGATGTTTAATCAGTTGTGACAGTTTCTGGGCTTGGTTCATCTGGGTGTGGGGTGGGGGGTAACCCAGGGGAAAGAAATAGCCACATGCCTGTGCAAAGGTCTGTATTTGGACCCAAGACCACAAGTAAATACACTGAAACCCACACTGCCTGAATATGTCCCCCCCAAAAGATGTAACCTGAATCCTTGAAAGCTGCTTTGGATAAAAACGCCCGTTTAAAAAGGCAAATGAGCATCCCTGCAGCCTCTGTGTGTGTATTTGTGGTAAGACTGTTCCTTTTGTTTTGGGTTTTAGTGGGATTTACATAACTCATTCTGAAGCCAGTGAAAGTGGATGTGTTTCTGAAGCCATCTTGGTTTTATGCTGAAGGGACAGAAGCCACACTTCCGCTTTCCCCCTGCGTCTGTTCTGCCTGAGCGCCGCGCAGGCGCAGAAAGCCGCTGGGCTCCCCAACTCGAACAACAGGGCTGGGCCTCTCCGGGGTGGTGACGCCCGGCTCCCCTCCACCCCCCCCAATCACCGCCACCGTCCTGTTTCCACAGTCCTCACGGACTGCTGGACGGAGAGGGGCCGTGGCGGGGCCCCCCCCCCCCAGCTGCCCCCCCCCCAGCAGACTCCACACGGACATGCGCATAGAGGCAGTCATGGGTGTGGCAGGTGAGCAGACGGATGCTGGGTTTGTTGGAGTGGCGGACACCTGAGTGGGGGCTGGACACAATCAGAGGATGCGTTTGCTGAGTCTGACCGTTTGAAAAACTTCAAAACAGGAGCAGACTGACTGAAGGCTTTGGTCTCCCAAAGCAGCAGATCATCTGCAGAGCTCCTGGATACCAGCCAGCAGCACACAAAATGATTTTGAAAAATAATAACCCAGTTACCTGATCCCCGTAGCTCTCTACATTTAGTTCATGCCTGTGTGGTGTGTATGAACAGTCAACACAGAGGAGGAGGTGGTGGGCTAGGGCTCCGGTTCTTTATCCCAGCTCCAAACACAGAAGACAATCTGTTGCTTAAACAAACCTCGACTCCACACGCAGGTGACAAGACAGGCCGGACCAGTCGAGCAGCACCAGAAGAAACCTGCCGGGGAGGAGGCCCGCGCTCAGCCCGGAGCACCAGGCCGTAAATCAGCTTCAGCGGGACGTCAGAAGTAGCTCAGAAGTGTGGGACTGTCTGAAGGGGTTTGTTTTGCCATCCAAATGCCCCCGCACCAGTCCTGTGGGGTGGCAGTTAGGTCAAGAGTTCAGCAAGGCTTGGGTCCCCCAGCCCCCAGGGCCCCTAATGCCAGAGCTTTACCGCCACCTTGTGGATGTTTAGCTGCACTGCCGGACATCCCGAACATGAAGTCGTGACTGGCCGGCTGATTGCAAACACCTGCTTGGAGTGAATGGATTAGTTTAAAGGATGGATGAGGTCTTCACAAGTCTGACAGTGGGGCAAAGATTCAAAGCAGGTAAACATCTAAAGCCTGCAGGAGTTTGAGATCTCTGCTCTAAACCCTAACCCCACAATAAACTGCTGCTTCTACAGAATCCAAAGCAATAGCTGTCCTGTTTTTAGAAACATCACCACTATCCGGGTGAAGCTGGTATCTTTTTCAAAAACTTCCTCTCTAAAGTGCATATATAATCCAGGCAGTTTCACACATAGCTTTACTATGATGTAGAGTCGCTTCTCAAACACAACCCAGGTTCCAAAGGTGGCGCCCGCTCGCCGCTCAGACCCATTTGTGCCTCCGGTCAGCAACTTAACAGCTTAAATATCAACATTTAATGCAAATTTTCTGTTGTCAGTCATGTTAGGAACGTTTTCAGTACATTTCTGGTAAAAAAAACAAACAAAAAAAACACAAACAAATCTTTTAATTCGGTCCCAGTTGCCACCCACTCCAGCTGCACAAATCGAGTGTTGAGGCTTCTCGGGATATTGCCGTGTTTTCTAAAGACAAACTTAGTATTTTACAGGACATTAATGTGCAAAAATTAATGGTAAAAAATGTAAAAAGGTAACAGCGCTCAGCAAAAATATCCATGAAAAGTACCAGTGTCTCATCGGTTTCTTCAGTCTTCGGTGTCCAAAGAGCGATGCGGATTCAGGAACTTTTACTTGTTTTTGACGCATCAGCAACCACCACAGAGGACACGTGGAGCCCAACCCACCAACAGGATGAAGGGTGGACACGCAGGACCTAAACAGTGCAATATAACAGCTACATTACAGGATTATGAGAATCTATCCCTGAAGTTACAGAGCACACCTCTGACATGTGTGATTACAGAGGAACACAAAGAAATGAATATTAAATAGGAGAAGAATCAACCGTGTATGGCTGCTCCTTAGGAAACTCCTCACATCTGCAACGGGGTTTGCTGACGATTGTCTTAAATAGATGACCCCGGGCAGCGCTTCCTAGTCGCCACCAACAATGACATTCCAACAGAGTTACCAAAATAAGAGCAGACACCAAAGGGTCCCAGCTTCTCACACCAGCACACCAGAGCTCATCTGTCAGTTGAGTAAAAACTCTGGGCTGGGGTACCCAAACAGCTGGAAGTCTCCCTGGTAGCGTGCGTAGAGACGTCTGATGTCCCGCCGGCCGATGCCTGAGAAATAGCGCTCCACCTTGGTCCTGTTGTAGCGGGTGATGCCCGGGGGGATGGCCGGATAGGACACCAGGTGCTGGATGCCTGCCGCCCTCAGGATGTGCGGGGCGTCCTCCTCCAGGGTCTCGTGGTGGCCCACCACGCTGTAGTGGATCTCACAGGGGGCGCACAGCTCGGCGTAGGTGACCCAGTGGATGACGTGCTCGCCGAACTGCCGGTCCATGCGCCGCCGGCCCTCCACGTCGCCCAGGTAACGGACAAAGTCCTCAAAGTGCAGGCCGGAGGCGGCCAGCTGGCTGTCGCGGTGGCTCTTGCGGTACTTCCGGATGATGGCGGGAGCGATGTCGTGCTTGTACCACGGCTCAAAGCGAGGGTTCTTCACAAACTTGTCCTTGAAGGCGGAAATCAGGCGCTCAAAGGGATCCCTCACGATGAAAAACTTAAAGTAAGAGTTTAACCTGTGCAGAGACACAGCGAGAACCGGTGAGCAGACGGGGACGTGTTAGGTTATGAGACCAGATGAAAGCTATTTCTTCTAAGGGATCATGTCAAACTATCCTTAATTCTAATTTTTAATCACAAAATGTCAGCTGGATGCAACACAAAGCCAACCTGTGAGTTATCTCCTGTGGAGTGAGGGAAGACAGGCGAGGCAGGCCATTTTTGTCATGGTCATGGACGAGGTTTTCTGGGATCTCCTCCACACTGGGGAAAGCTCCTGCTGGCAAATTCATATAATAATTAACTGAATTTTACCAAAACAAAACACCTGTTTACACATTTAGTTCCTAACAGCTCATTAATTTGTTGTCATTTAGGCAAACGTGCCTCCTCTGATCCACACTGACCATTGAGCACAATGAGGACCTTCTTCCATTGTGTGTTTCCCACTTTGGGCGTCTGGCAGAACAAAATCTTGTGTTTGTCACAGACAAAGATGCGGTCCAGGACGAACTTGCTGATGGAGACGTGAGTCAAATTCCTGAGGCTGCTGTTCTTGCACACGCTTGACAGCAGCTCAATCCGGCTGTCAGAGACTGCCTGCCAGCCTGTGGCCGGCGGCCTCGCTGAGGACTGAGACACACAGGTACCACTTATACAACTGCTATATGATGAGAGAACAGGTGAACACACAACAAAGTTTCTGGTTAAGAGGACACAATAGACAACATGAAATCAGTAAATGATCACCTGATGAGATGAATTTGGGGCTTTTTTTTCAGGACTGGACACAGGAATGGCTTTCCCCTCCTTGGTGCTTGGCACTGTCCAACCCTGACCGGGTCGCTCCCCATAATCTGGGAGGGGGTGAATAAATGGAAAGAACGGACATGGCTGATCACATTTAGGAGTGCGGCTCTATTGGACTGTGCGCCTATGGCTGGACACGGCAGCTCACCGTCCACAGCTCTGAAGCTGATGAAGTTCCTGACAAAGATCAGGATGAGCAGGACCCAGCCGCAGGCCCCGAGGAGCAGCCAGTGGTGCCGCATGGCTCTGCGCATCAGCCAAAGGCCATGGGGCCGCGGGGGGGCTCCCACCTGCACGGCACACCGAGCACTGTTGACGACTCACTTTCTACAACTCACATTAAACTCCGACTTCCAGAACACCGCATTCTACAGCAGAGATATCCGCACCAAACTACATTTTTTCAGTTACATTCATTCGCTGAGGCACAATAAAAAAAAAGCCAGCAAAGTCAAAAACAGGATTCATAATGACGGTTATTTACGCGGCTAGCTAACTCGTCCGCTAGCCCAGCAGCTAGCCACGCCTGTCCCTCCGAGCACACGGCTACAACCGCGGCTCTTTATCTCGCGGAGGCTCGTTGGCATCCTCATGAAGAGATAAAATGCTGGACAGAACCCTTACCGGACCTTTTCAGCGACTTATAGCAACTTCACAGCTGCCCAAACTCCTGAGTGACGCTTGGATGTTGCCATCCGACCTGATGTGTCTTCATGTACACCAACAGGCAGCAAAACAAACAGCTCCCCCTGGCGGCCGCGCAGGGGAAGTACCAATGTGGACACAGTTCTACCCACTGGTCAGTGAAGTGCTGATGCTGTGGCAAAACCCTCCCCAAAATTTGATCCACCTTATTTATGAAAAGTGCATTCCCTTAAGTGACTGTAAAACTGGATTAGCATTCATTTTTAGCTCCTTCTCCACACCAGTCATGCACTTTAAACCATTTTACCAGACATTTATACCTCTATGTTGGGAGGTTTGCCCAGTTTACTGATAAGGATTGTACGTTTTTTTTCTCAAAACACTTTAAATTTATAGCTTAATAGTCAATTTCCATAGATGTGTGGATGAGAAATAAATCTTTAACACAACAGGTACAAGAGTTAACAGACTTATGTTTTTACAGTATGAAGGTCAAACTATCATTGTTGCTCAAAAACACAATTTTCAAACATATCCTGAACAAAGCTCTCAATTTTTGCCAAACAAATTAACACAAAACAAGTGCTTATTTTATTTCCATTTATTCCACTCGCAGAGGGGACAAACTTAGTTTTCATCAACATTGACTGTCTGCAGACCTGTTGGGACACAGAAAGAGGAATCATTTAAAGGAACATCTGTAATGCTTTCACCACAGGTGTTAAAAACAAAAGTCAGTGGGGTATTCACCTTTGCATGTGGTGACAGGAACGTATGTGACCAGGGTGTACAGTTTGTTGGGGGAATCCTCGTCCTCATTACGCTTCCTGGACAGCCGTACGCGCATCCTGTACGGCACGTTCCTGCACAATTCAATTGAATTTTTATTTATATAGCGCCAAACACAGATCCAGTTTTTAATAAACATCTGATGAGTGGCTGCCACATCATCACTGGATGTTAACTATTTTGGAAAAGTAACTGATCACATAAACATTGAAAAAACTAAGTATATTACTTTAGCATGAAAAAAAAACATCCAGATATCTGAGCTTGATTTTCTTCATATTTCGAATCTGAATGTTTGGCTCACATGGTTTGGGGAATTCACAAGTCTTAAATCCAATCAGCCAGCACAAGTTATGTCCATAGGAAAACATGACAGGTGAAATTAAAACAGGGGCTCCCTGATGGCCCTGCAACTTCCTGCCCTCAGATCTGATGGGTTCCCATCTGAAATGATGATGGCCTCACCTGATCCCCTTGCTCCACACTGCCTTGTTCAGGCGAGTGTCGATGCGAACATCAGGAGTCCCCATCTCCTTGACGGCGAACTTGCGGATCTCCTTGATTGCACGGGGAGCCCTCTTTTTGAAACTCCTGCAAAAATGAATCATCAATTGTTAAAGAATTTTATAAAAAAAATCTCAACTCAAACAGATGAGTTGCAAACAGAGTAAAGATTCCAGGTCAACAGTTTCTTCACTAAATGTTACTCCCTTGTGCAGCAGGGAAAAACTTTAAGACTCCGTTTTAACACTATCACAGCTAAGTTTTAGACTCACAGAACCAACAATTTTCAGTGATAAAACAAATGAGTGTACATTATGTCCTCTTAACATTTGTTTCTTTATATCATCCTTGGGTCTGCAGAGGTTTCAAACATCCCTGTATACCTTTAAATGAAGGAGCTAGCAATCTGAGCAAAATATGTCCAATCTGATGTGATAGTGTGTCTGTGTTACTCACACTCCATGAATACGCTTGTGGACATTGATGGTGTACTCTCTGGTCACCACCTCGTTGATGGCTGAACGCCCCTTCTTTTTCTCTCCTTTCTTGGTTGGGGCCATCTTGGAAAAATACAAACACAAGTATGAACGTCTGCACGTATAAACAACTGCATATTAGCTTGAAAACTATACAACAAAATCGACACTGTGACGAAGAATTTGCGTTGATGCTAATGGGACTTGTAGTCTGTCATTAGCATTAAGCTATGACTCTATGAAAACAAAAACTCAAGTTAAAGGACAGGTTACTGCTTTAAATAAAGAACACTTAAAATAATACTGAATCCAAGTCGGAAGTTCAACATCCAAACTGTTAAAAAAAAAACATTTTCAATACGAGACAACAAGCTCCGTTCAGCCATGCTATGAAGCGCCACATCGGTCCAGTCATCGTAACTGTTTGCAATTTTTATGACTAAATCTGACATTCAACTCCACAAAAACCCAGCACGACGCATGAATAAATGTTTTTAAACGTATTTGGGAGTATCTAGAGGCCAATAAGGGCTTTAATGACAAAAGATGGCAATAGATTGCCAAAGAAATTTTTCCGAAAAAAATACTCACCTCGGCTTGTAGCTGAGCCGGAAATCGGAAGGACGGATGTACAGGAGAGGCTTGTGGGTAAAGGAAATCAGTCCGTTCTAATTTAGACCCCTGGCAACAAATATACAAGGGAAGGTTCCGGTTGTCAAAACGTCTTGCATCCTGAGCTGACAATCATTATGAAATACGGACAAATTATCTATCTATCTATCTATCTATCTATCTATCTATCTATCTATCTAT